AGCAAAATAGCTACCGGCCAAAGACCCCCTTAACGGCCAAGAATGAACTGGGCAAGTGTTTCGACACTGCTCCAGATATAGATTATTTTCTAGTTAGACTCAGGCGCTGGCAAAGGATCAGGACCGTTGAAAAGAGTGTCTTTTTGCGCGACTCCAGCTTCAAAACTGGCTATAAATTAATTGTCATCGTTGAGGGAAATATATCTAAAACCTAGACTGAACTACACTCAACCAGATATGCATTTAGCATATCTACGATAGCCACGCGAAATTGTAATTTATTTGCTACTAATCGTACCTGCTTTCCGAACACATAAGTGTAAAAATGGATCGAATGCATGAGTGGTATTATGCGTTATCGTTTCCACAATATCTTCTTCGAAATTGTCTACAAATTCCATGCACTAAAAAACATTACAGTTAATATTTGACGAAATCAGTGTCATGCCAGTAATGGGCAACGAACAAATTACATTCAACTTAAGGGTAGACAGTGGCAAATGGAACAGGCTTCTACGACAACAAGATTTCTTAGAAAACTTCGAAACGAGACGGCATAAATGTTTCTGGTTATTTACTCCCATCTTCAGTTTTCACTCTTAGACTAAAACTGCTTTCCAATTTAAATCACTGGCACTTGTAAGCCGAGTTCATTTATGAAAAATGTTCAAGGACAAAAGTATGATGTCGCATGACCAGGTTACGTAAGGTGAAGTAGTACTTCTTAGCCGCGATGGCTGCTTGAGAAAGATTTGACCTCTTAACGGCAAGCTAACGTGTAACGGAATTTTTAAAAACTAAGTTTGGTACAGTTCCTCATTCCTTTGAGGGCGGATTTTTTTCAAACGGTTACTTTGATAACAATCCCATATAAAAGTATTTGTGACCTTCCTACAAGGTAGGCCGTGAACAATGGGTGCAAAAAGTTTATAAGCATGCATCAAAAATCGTCGTTCTGCTCAAGATGATGACCTCAATAATCACCTGCGTGCCTCTGTCCTGTTCATAGGGGGTTCTGATGCCATAGGTCAGACTTGGCCAGTATTTTTAGCTCATGTGCGAAGGTTCCGCTGAGGTTAGTCGGTACATCCGTCCACATCTTGTCTGTTTCAGGTCGCGACCGCGTTGCGGTAGGATTAGACTTCTACTGGGATTGGTAGCACAACAATTTTCTTGTATCGAACTGGTTCTCTGAACGTTTTTAGCGTTAGCCAATAAGTCTCTTGAGCAAACCACTAAAGATCGTCACGCAAAAATGCAATCATCGTTGGCTAAGGAAATTTCATGTTATAATACTTCTTTTACTATAATGTACTAAACTTTGGATTTGAAACTAACCGCGGAATATAATCTGTCGGTCACTTGCTTCGTTGTAACTGCTCCAATGACTTTCAACTTCTTACTATTGTCCAGCACTCGAGCATACGTCATCTTTTTAGTTACCGGATGCTGAACCAGGCCGTACAAGTCCGTATTGACGCATATGTATATCAAGAGATCAGAGACAAGGTCTTTCCCTTCCTCGTATGGTTGCTACAAAAGCAAGAAATTGTACAATTAACAAGTTATGTACATTTGCTGCCTTATGTTACGTTAGACTTATCAATCGCTAGAAATATAGCTACGGATTTTAAGATTAGTCTTGACATAATTATTTCATAATTAAACTTAATATATTTTCTCTTTGCAGTTACTTTTCTTTCTCCGTACTACGAACGTTCATGAAGTTGAAGTCATTTTGGAAAATAAAGGTACGTTCCAGTCATTGATTTCCAGATCCACAAAGGAGACCAGTCGCCTCTAATTGTAGATCTTCGAAGGACGTGATTTTGCCTTCTAAATCTTTCATAGCCCCACTTCCATATTCGTTACATGTGAAAGTGTAGCGTAAAGATTGACGCTGATCCTGGACCAGTCATTCGTCATGCAGAATGCTTGGGCGTTCAAACAGCTCATGATTT